ACACTGCAGTGATGGTATTGTCCCCACGTCCTATACACTGTGTGTAGACCATGATGAATCTGGGACCTTAGACCGCTGCAGCAGAGTGGGAAGAGGGGCTTCAGGGACTGATCTAAGAGCAAGTCAGCTTAGGGGATCAGGTAAGTATAACTTTTTTATTTTTGACCCTAGGCAAAAAAAAGCACTTAAAGTGACATTAAAGTCTAAAACTTTTTTCCCTCCCCCCAATGTTAGTCTAAGCACTTACCCTAAATGATGACTCTTAATCCGATCTTCTTCTTTCCTGTCCTTTTCAGCCTTCTCTCCAGCGGTGCTGCGGGTCTCCGATCCAGTGCTGACTCCTCTGTCCTTGCTGGCACTTCCTGTCCCACGGTGTCTGCATGCGGGTGCACACCGTCCATAGACTTACCTTGTGTCTCTCCTCGTCTCCCGGCCAAAAATCTGAACTGTGCATGCGCCCGCCCCACAATCCTTTGCGGCCGCCCGAGATTTTTCAGATTTTCGGACAGGAGCGCACGGCGAAGACACAGGTAAATTTAAACCTATTTCAAAGGGGTTTTTTTTTTACGTTTTTGCATTTATCTACTGCTTGCTAGCAGTAGATATATGCAAAAACACCTGTAGGTTTAATAACCCTTTAACCCTTGCAGTGCAGGGGTAGCCCCAATGCAAGGGTTAATACAAATGTTACCCAGAGTTCTGCTTTAAACATTAGTTCTGACCAGCATATCACTGGTGACCTAAAGACATCACAAATTCAAATCATGTTTGACAGTTTGGACTGCAGACATTTTGGCTTTAAAAGAATAAATTGATTTATTAACAGACTTTATCTTGACTCAGCAATATTAATTATTCAGAAATTGCTGTCAGGTCACATAACAGGTCCAATAACTTTTTTTCTCTGTAACTTCCATGTGGCCATAATATGATGTTACCATCATTTTACCCTTTTGTTTACATACAGCAGGGCAGGGAATGCCCGGCTGCAGCTGATAGGGCATGTACTGATGCCTAACTTCCCAATTCGGGTGAGCTCAGGTGTGGAACAAACCTGAGCTCATCCCTATGTAAATTATAGTGATAAACATCACAGATTACTTGATGTCAAAGGGGTATATATATTCAAGTGTTCACAGAAGGTCCACACAACTTTCACCCCAGATTCACATATTTTATTTGTTGAATCCAATTATAAAATGTGTAAAAGTTGATAAACATTCATCAATATATCCCAAAGTGCTTAATTGTGTTTGCTTCTTATGTAAGACAGGCAATGTGTAATAATAATTTTGTCAGAAATTTGCTTTTCTGGAATTTGTGTGTATTCTATACCATATCACAATTATCGATTGCAACATTTCATATAAAAGCCATAATTGTTATTCACTTTTGCATCACTTGACATTACAATATAGTTCCTTCATGATCGGCATTGTATTGTGCTGTGTTGGCTGATTGCAAATTACACAACACAATGCTTCATCATAATTTAATATAAGAGTAGTTTCATTTAGTAACCTATAATGAACTTGAATGTTGCTTTTTGGGAAGATGGTATTTCAGACAGCTCTAAATATTGTTTTAAAGGGAGGTATAGCTCAATTATACAAAGAATGAATGCTATAGAAAAATTTTAATGCAGAAAATATTTAATCATAAATTATATATAAAATATATCAGGGCACACCTCATATGTGTTTGCGGTGTTTACAGTCTTGCACTAACACGTATGACTTTGTTGCAAGTATTATGGGACTTGTTCATTCAATTATTTATTGGTACTATGAACCTGTTCAAGAGTCCACCCCTACAGAGTTTCAGTATAAAAGGAAACAGCAACTCTGTTATTAAACCACTAAATTTAGCTTGTTCTTCAAAACAAATCTAAGAAGTTAAAGCAGAACTTAATCCACCAATTTAATGGTCTTTAAAACAGTCTCAACTAAACTTCCAAGCCTTCAAATGGCTGGTGCCATAGCTGATCACATGTTCAGCACCATGTCAAATGCAATCCAAAACCGCGGCTAAGATGGCGTAATCTCTGAAGTGCTGACACTGTGGGGTCTATTCACAAAGCTGCCGAGGGCAGCCGAGTGAATGACCGATCAAACCCTGTGTTTCCTTCTGGCGGGTGGCTACTTTTGTTCCCCCCTGTGTGTGTTTTAAAATAGTCACCGCTCCAGGCTTGGACTATACTCTCAGGTTTAGTTTACCAATTTGTATTGAGATTGTAGTCCATTGTGGGAGTGAGCTTGAGAGGTGGATACTTTACAACACACACAGGGACTATGGGGAACAAAAGTAACCACCCTCCAGAAGGAAGGACAGCGTCAGCACCAATTCAGAGATGATTTGAGGCTGTACAGCTGAGTGATGCACAAACAAGATACATTTTTGGTGATAGTTAAAGTACTTGAATGCACTTTTAAGATTTAACTACTGAGTTTAGGGTGATTTTAATGCTGTGCAAGCCAAACAAACATTTTAAATGTAATAAATAACTTAGAGGAAATAAAGTTAGGCTCATTTTACACCTGTGCAGTGTATTTTAGGTGTCTTGCATTTTAGGCATGTTGTACATGCATTATCACTGAACTCTAAATGACATGCATTTTGATGAAAAAGCATCAAAAATTAAAGTGCAAGCTAGATTTTTTTTAAAGCAACATACCTAAAACACACTGGTATTGATGGGGCCTTATGTTTTTTTACCAAGTGCCACTAATCCCAATCCCAATTCCTCCAATCACAGCCCGATCTGAATACTTCCTTGAATTAGACTGCCACGACTGTGCAGTTGATTTTTATAGACATCTATAGGCCATCTCTCAGTACCGAAAGTGCAGGTACTGCCAGGGATAAAAACATTTCAGGCACATGATTACTTGATAGAAAAAACCCAAACATTAATACAGGAGTGTGTTCATTAAAGATGCCATTTGGAGAATTCAAAAACACTGTGCTGCCTCTTAATTTTCTTCCGTTTTCTCTGCCCACTGTGTGCTGCCAAAAAGACACCAAACATTTCCCAACGGTATAATGATATGATGATTTTATCTATGGATAGTTATACTTTTAGTATACACTTTTGGAGAGGAAATCCACAAAGGTTACTATAGAAAGAAAAAACAAACTATGTTTGGAAAAGAAAAACGAGCATAACATTTTTTTAAAAATACATTTGATGTGTTTACTATTCATTCCAATGGCCGTACTGAATGAAGGTAATCACACAAACATTCTATATGTCCCATTTCTTGAAAAACATGATAAGCTGCAATGCATAGATATGACACGGCCATGCAGGAAACCAAAAAATGTCTACTAAAATGCATTTTCAAGTAATAGAAGGAATGCATTTTACTGAAGGAACATGATAAAGGTTGAAGGGGCCCTCTACCCCATAATACTGTTAACTACCTTCAGACAGAATGAGATAGCTAGTAATTATCATAGTGTGAGTGGGCAGCAGTATAAAATTGAGATAAGTGAAAAGTAACTGTATGAGAGCCCATTCGCATGAGAATTGAGCTGTAGAATGTGTTAAGCTTGTTGATGTGGTAGATGTTTTAAAACTGAACAAGAGAAAGAAAAAACAAACTATGTTTGGAAAAGAAAAAATAGCATTAAAAAAATACATTTTATGTGTTTGCCATTCATTTCAATGGCCGTGTTGAATGCAGGTAATCACACAATCAATCACACACATCAATCAAAATGCATTTTCAAGTAATAGAAGAAATGCATTTTACTGAAGGAGCATGATCAAGTGTGAAGGGGCACTCTACCCCATAATACTGTTAACTACCTTCAGACAGAATGATATAGCAAAGCTTCTCCATAGATCTTCAGGGTTATTCACTAAAGGGTAAAGAGATTAGAGAAGGCAGGAGAAGTGAACAATCTAGGACAACATAGCTGAACTAGAAAGTGAGCTGAATTGGAGACATTTTCTAAATCCACTATTTTGGCCTAGATTGTTCACTTCTCCTGCCTTCTCCAAACTCTTCACCCTTTTGTGAATAGACATGCTAGTGTAGCTAATGTTCTACCATTATGTGAACATTTACAGCCTTTCTCTCCTTTCCTAACTGTAGCTATTTATAAACTGATGGTGCTGAATGCCAGGTTTTCTTTTTAAACAACTTACATACAAAGCTACAGGAGTCTTGTCTGAAAGGGAGGTGTGTGAAAGATTGAATCTAACCAAATCCTAATGAGCTTTTTCTGATCACAATGGAGATGGATTCAGGGCTTGGTTCCACCAGCCCATGCGCTCATCGCACAGCCCCGTGTCTGGAACACAAGGGATCGCATACACAAAGTCTCCTTGCGTTCTGGGGTGGGAGGGGGCATGGCAGTGCCATGCATGTTAATGGCACTGCCGACACGCCCCCCTCTCCCAGTGCAATCGGCCACGCAGGACCATGTGGTAAAACAATGCCCTTAATCTGTTGCCAGGTTTTACCTGCTGCTTAGCACCTTTGTTATGTTCTCATTATATTAGCTGAGCTTTTTATGCAAGCCAATTTTTCCTAGTCACCTATAGGAGTGAGATTTCCATATGTTCCTTTGGAGACTCCACTAAAAAGCAGTTTATTCTGTCCTCTAGGGAATGCTCCTAGGAATTTATGTAAATGTTACTTGAACAGATGACACCAAGGTTTATCGGAAAAAAAGTTGGCTTCTTTGAGCTGTGCTGGGGAAGGGGAAATCTTCTTGATAGGGTCATGGGGAGATTTAAATATCTAGTCAGAAATGAAAAGTACTTACTGTATCAAATAACTAAAAAAAGCAGAAAAAAACTTTTTTTGGAAGTGTTCCATTGTTCTATAACAGAAAATAAAAGCTTGGTATATAGTATTTTTTTTTATATTTTACCTGCTTTATTGTAATGCTATTTAGTATGCATGAAAAAAAGGCTATTTATTTACTGTTGTTGAGTGCTCACCCACCATGTTAGTAATTTTTGGCTTTGGTATATTTTCTTTTCTTAGACCTTCCGAGCAGAAATAGCACCAATTAAGGATAATGTAAACCAAGTAAATGATCTTGCACACCAGTTCACTGCAACGAATATACAGCTTTCTCCATATAACCTTAGTCGCCTGGAAGAGTTGAACACAAGGTGGAAACTCCTGCAGGTAAACTTTTCTTGGATTACCTTTCTTTAAAGCAAATTCCTCTGTTATATTTTGTTTCAGAATTGTTCTCTGTGATTAGTGAGGGGTTAGAAGGACACATACGATTTGAACTGAGATTTAAGGTATATTTAAAATAACCAATGATATATGGTGGTTCAGGGAAATAACAAAGACCGGTATTGCATGCTGTAAAACTATTAATAATTATAATAGAACACTGTGCTTTCATGTCCATCATGAGAGGAAAAGCAGCACGTGGTTATTTTGTGTTGTTTCTCCATTCATGATCAGTTACATGTGCTTTAGAACATTTCATGGTTTTATTAGTCGGTGGGTCCTTTGCTGTGAACAGAGCATTATGGTTTTTGAAGTGTGAGTGTGAATCGAATAAACATTCATACATTGTTATTATTAGGGTTGCCAGTTCTCTGCTCATCAGGTGGGGATATTAAAAGTACATTAAAACAGGATGAAAGAACAATCATTTTAGTCACACTGGACTATGATAAAAAAACACACCACTGCAGTGACCTCTGGAGGGCATCTGGCTAGAGTGCTTGGCTGCTCCTCAATTCTGTATTATTGGCCATGTAGACACCTGTACCTTTAATGTCTATATGATCAGTGAAACAAAGCTACAGCAAAGGAGGAGCTGTGCTGCAGTGCCAAGTAAATATACTGTATTTTTCTGACCGGGGGGAGTGCCCTCTGAACTATCTCTCTCCTTTGGCCATTCTCAACTCTCACAACCCATTTTCCTTTAGCACTGACGTTGCACATTTTTCCCCAGTATCTTAGACTAAGGTATTATAGTGTTATAATACTATAGTTGACTGTCTTTTTTTTTACTTTTTAGTAAAGTTTCTATATTATTTCTGACACTTTGGACACCATGTCTGCTTAATGCTATTTTTATCAACACAACCTGGGCAGATTACAAATTCTCCAATGTTCACTTGCACTGCAAAGAAAAGCTTTCTGTGTGGTTTAGGAAAACGTTTTTTTCTAGGATTGTTCTTAGAATGGTATTCACAGTTGTGAAAGTAGCCATCCCCCTTACACTCAAAATATGAAGCTGACAACGTATGGTGCTATAAAAAAATTTGGTTATGCACCGTGGAGGACGAAATGTAAATTTTGACTTACATTTCACTGGTTAAAACAGGTTCACTTTAACACCAACCCTACTAGCAGCTTAGTAGTCCACCTTCCCTCCCCACTTTAATCAACTATGAGGAGAGAAGAGAGCCTCCAAGCTGGAGCTTACAGAGGACTGAAGAATCTCTCTGTAACACACTGCACCAGTGTGATTGAGCTCTTAGTGTAAAATTTGCACTGTAGACATTTATTAGCACTCACAGAGATCACAGATCTCCTCTTGACAACACCTTTTTCTTTCTTTCTTTCTTTCAAGAAATTTAGCACCATGTTTGTTCAGAGACTGGACCTCATGTTCTAAGAAAAGCAGTTTCTTATATAACTGGGTCAGTAAATACAGAAAGGAAGCAGATCATTTCTTAGAAATGCATTGTCATCTTATGTGACTGGTTTAAAGATTAGCATAACAACTCATATAGAGCAGGGTCCTTTTTATTCCATACCATACATTGCTCAATATTGTAACCAGTAGACAGTTCTTGTGACATAGCTTAAATTGAATAAAGCCTAACCATAAGCTTACAAGTCCCAAAAATAAATATTTGGGACCATATAGCAAGACATAATGACAACCAACTGAAGATGTAGTAAAAAAAATTGTCTTCCAGACCCATGACTGTCATTTGTATTAACCTTTTTAAAAAAAAAAAAGCTTCAGACATAATGTGGTAGAAAGCACAGCATATTAGTACATCACAGCAGTCTTACCTGCCAAAGTGATCCCCTCCTGCACTGAGATGTCGGGATCTCCTTTCTCACTGCCACTTCCATCTTTGTTACAGTCTTCTTCAGGAATCTGTGTCTGGCCATTTGATTGACCGGGCACCAATGATTCAACTCCCACACATGCTCAAGGGAGTTACTTCGTATCAGCAAGAATCATTCCAAGCCGGTACACTGACTGGCACATGCACGGCTCAGTAAACAGAAGCAAAATAAAATTGCTGACAGACAGGAAAAAGCTTCTTTTTAAAAAAAACAAACCCACTTTATATGAACAAATATGAGCAACAAACTGTGGAACAATACATTATTCTGATTAGAGTGCCTGTTTCTCATCTCAACATATTTGAATAATGAACAGAGCATACCTTTCTAAGGATCTATACTAAGCATTGTACTAGAGTGGCAAAGGGAACCAGCTTTCTGACTTGTGATGAGCAGGGTCCTTTTTATTCCTCCATTTTCCTCAGTGGTGGACGGTCATTAGTGTTGCATAGAATGGTATGTGATGTGTGATCACTGTTCTTTACAACATTCTCCGGTTAGGCCAGGCTGCATGATGATATGTCCATGGCAGCATAGGCTCACAGGAAGTGTGTCAAATAACGGAAGACATTATGCACACATAGAGAGGACCAATGATAAAGGAGGACTTGAGGGGCAGCAATGGAGTGTGGAGAGACTGAATAGTGCTCAATAAACATTATGATCTAACTGCCTATTCTCAGTCTTTAAAAAAGCTTGATCCCACATTTTTTTATAACATAGTTGCTTCAACATCTCTTTCTCTTCTCATACCTACCATACTATATTGTTCCAAACTAAATAGTTAGTTTGGTCAAACGTTTTCCTCCAGTCACTATTTAAAGGGTAGATAATAATACTTTGGCTTAAAGTATATTTCCACTTTTGCAGCCAAATTTGGAGAACACCTATTTTAGGTGTGGTATATGTTCCCATTCACATCCATTCACATAGAATAAGCTAAACAAAAATGCAGTTAAAATTTCTTCACTTGGATTTAGGTTTCTTGGCTTTTAATGGTTAAATGGTTTCTACTTGCTTCTCCTTCTGTGCAATGTTAGGAGGGGTTGTGAGGGGTTTGTTCATTATAATTTGTAATGTAGATCTGAACACTGCCTGTCCTAACAAAGGGTTAAAGCCCTACGTCTTTCTATAAGGGCAGATCACTGTGAAAGTGCTTAGATACAAAAACCTGGATTCAGCCATCTTGCCTGCTATTTAGTTTTTTTTTATTATTTTTTGTTATGCTGTGTGAATGGGGACACATAACAAACATATAGAGCTGTTTTCTCAAAATTTGACTTCAAAGTGAAAATACAATTTAAACCAAACCAATACAAATTTCTCAAGTAGCTAGTTTATTTCCAAAAAAGTAAACACTTCACAAATCCCAGACATAATGATGTTCCTAAGGTAGCACAACAGTGTGAAAACTTTTGCTAGGTAATTCATCCTAATTTGCAGTTTAAAATTCCTGTAAATCTGTGTCTTTATTATTGAACAGCTAAAGAGCTCTTTTGAAAAGTTCACTCAAAATTCTATGTGCAATCAAATGTTCTTTCAAACAAAAGGGAGAACATTCTGCTGTTCAACACAAAAATATTGTTTTAAGCAGCAGGTTCCCCAGCCCCCATAAGAAACATATGCTGCCTATACACCTGCAGAATAAAGTGAAATTATAAAAACATGCTACACTTGCCTACCTTTTAATTGTTTATGTAAGACCAGCATAAACCCTTTCAAATGAATCCCAAAACTCTGACGCCAAAAGATGTAATACTGCGAAACATATGTTTCTTTTGTCAGTAGTGTGATTATACCTCTGTAAATTAGACAAGCTGGGATTTTAAACTTCCAGCCTAGAGTCTCTTATTATATTCATTACACTGGTAATAGTGTATGGGTAGAAAATTATTAACAACATAAGGTTGTACTCCGCATGAAACAGTAATAAACTGTGCCTTTACCCTATGCAAAGATAAAAAGATGGAGAAATTAACTTCATTACCTTTTGAGATGTGCTTTCTTTTTATGATAAATTGGTGTAATACCTTGGGGCAAAAAGCAATGGTGTGTAGCAATAACAGCAACAACTTACAAATGTGCTTTAGCTCCTGAAATTTAAATTCCACCTGCTCACCACTGGTTACTGCAATAAATGGGCCTGATTTACTAAAGTGTGACGTAAGGTGAAGGGATGAAGGGGGAGTGGCGGACTGATTGCACACACACAGCCGGCTGTCATGAAGTCTAGAGATGCTATGAGGTAGGAGCATGTGGCCAACGGCATCGGGCCCACAAGCTACCCGGAAGCTGATGCGGACAATTTTGTGGGCAGTGACACCACTGAGTAAATCATGTTGTATGGTCACCGGGCTGTGCTGATAATGCCCGCTGATGAGGATGATGCCAATTGTGTTGACAGAGGTGAGCACCAATTGAATGCAGGCCAGAAGGTTAGACCTTGATAGGATCACTCACTGGACTGTGTCTATGGAGGAGCAGCATTGGCCCTCACGCCAAGAAGTGTGTTAAAAGTAAGATCACCAGGTGAAAATACACAAACATAACAACACTCATTTAATGGTAGATTTAACAGCTCAAGGAGCAAGTAAAAGATATAACTTTGGGGTTTTACACACAAAGATCCCATTGCATATCTGCTGATCCAGATGGTTAGGGGAGTACACAGATTCCAGAGACATGGCAGGCATTTTCTTCCCACTGACAAATAACACCGGGCATTTTCCTCCCACTGTTCAATAATGTTGAGCATTTTCCTCCCAATAACCAAAAATGCCGGGCATTTTCCTCCCACTGACCAATAGCGCTAGGCATTTTGATCCAAATTGACCAATAACAAGAGGCATTTTCTTTTGATGGACCAATAACACCAAGCATTTTCCTCTCACTGACCAATAACGCCAAGTATTTTCCTTCCACTGACAAATAACACTGGGCATTTTCATCCCTCTGACTCATAACACCAGGCATTTTGCTCCCACTGACCAGTAACACCAGGCATGTTCCTCTCACTGACTAATGCCATTGAGCATTTTCCTACCACTGACCAACAGCAGGGCATTTTTTTCTTT